TGGATCATGCAAGGAACCTCGGCACCGACGCGGTGATGGGGTCCCCACGGAGGGTTCAGATCACTCGGGACAGGTGGGACAAGGCCAGAGGGAGGACGATTAAGATTAAGAAGCTCAGGGAGGCGGGGGCCAACACGGGGTTCATTCAACGTGGAGGCCCTGCAGCGTCGGCTCTATGGGGGTCCTGCATCATGGGGATTCCTTCGACCCAACTGCATCGTCTTCGATTGGGAGCTGCTGGAAGTCTCGGGAAGGTCCCCAAGGGCTCCACGGTCGGGCTCCGTCTCTTGAGCTATGCTGAAGGGGTCCGAGTGGACCCGCTGCTGTTGAACATCGGGATGGTTGTGTTCCAGTGGGCGGCGGCGGTCTGGGAGTCGTTTCCGAAGCTTCCTGTCCTGGAACGGTGTCTTGAAGGAGCCCTGGGCCGTCTCGAAGGAGTCCAATCACCTTGGAGGCAAGCAGCGGCCCCAGCTGAAGTAGCCGTGCTCAGTCTTCGCAGAATAGGCTGGAGTTTGCGGTCAGGTGCGTGCATGGTCACGGATCGGCAGGAAGCACTAGACCTTCGTGTTTTACCTCCAGCGCTCGTTCAGGAGCTAGCAGTTGCAGGCGCCAGGCGAGCTTCTGATCGGCAAGCTCTTTTTTGTCGTGAGCCCAAAGCCAGGTGGAATATGCCGATATTTTGGGCAGGACTTGAGGGGCTCCTGCATCGGTCCAAGGGATCCTGGACGAAGAGGTTTCAGAGGACGTTGAGATCCTTGGTTTCTGGAGGACACGGGCCACAAAGTCGGCTCCACCACCATGGACTTGTCGGCTCAGCGAGGTGTTTTGTATGTGGTGATCCTGAAGGGCCCTTGTGGCACAGGGCATACGAGTGCCCGAAGCATGCAGGGCTCAGGCGTGAATGGGTTGACGACTTCCACAGGGCGAGGGCTCGCAGGGCCCGCGAATGGGGGTACGACGAGGGGGGGAGGTTTGCGAGAGGCCTGTTCCCGTCGCCAGAGTTGGTCTTCCCCGTCGTGACCGAGGCCCAAGAGACCATCTTGTGGCACAACAGACCTGAGTCAGGGCTCCTGAGTGGCACGCTGTTCTTAGACGGTTCGGCCTTATGGGCCTCGGCTCCGTTTTTGGCCCGAGCGGGCTGGGCCATCGTGCAGGTAGATAGGTTTGGACATGTAGTTTCGGCGGCCTACGGGTCCGTCCCATGCAGTATGTGCCCTAAGCAGAGTTCTAGAGACGCGGAGGCTTACGCCGTCTCGATGCTGCGCGTTTGTGCTATGGCGCCCTTCGATGTCTTCATCGACTGTGCAGGCACTGTTGGGGCTCTCCGTGGCGGCGCGGGCGCTGGATCCCAAAGCAGTTGTGGTCGGGCCCAGCTCTGGAGTCCGTTCTGGGGAGCGTTCTCAGAAGGGGACTTCCAAGTTTTTAAAACCAAGGCCCACTGCACCAGAGCCCAGGTAGATGCGGGTGTTACCACTGAGTGGGAGTACAGAGGGAACGCCCACGCCGACAGGTTTGCGAAGCTTGGTGCGGCGGAGCACGGCGTGGGTGAGGAGCAGTTTCAGTTGTGGCAAGGCTTTAAGTTTTTAGCCCAAGAATCCGCCCGATGGGCGGCTTGTGTGCACGTTGAGTCCAATGGCCAGGACCGCGAAGATTTGATGGAAGCGTACTGGAGGTCTCGGGGCTCTACTGCCGAGGAAGGCCCAGAGACCCCAGAGGACCCCGAGCCTATGCCCCAGGCGTGCAGCAGTGGTGGGGAGGTGGGGTCGTCGTACGGGGTGGGCGACGGGCGGGAAGAGTATGCAGACGCCAGTTTTTGGTGGCAAGGCCACAACCTGCTGGAGGCAGATGTGCTCAGTCGCACCGCCCACGTTTCCTCTGTCGTCTTCTGTTGCCGCTGTGGCACCGCATCCTCGGACGGCAAGTTAACTTCGGGTCTCATGGGGTGGTGCCCCGAGAAGGCCAAAGCTGGAGGAGTGGACCAGCTGCGGAGGATCGAGAAAGGAGAATTCCCCTCTTACCGCGCCAATGTGCGCTCGTTGAAGGTCGGGAAGCCGCACGGAGTGCTGCCAGCGACCCGCTCGAGCCTAGCCGAGGCCGAGCTGAGCCTGCCCCCAGAGCCACAGCCCGCGGCCCCAAGCGTCGGGGCCAGTGGCGGATGGGGGCGGGCTGATCATGGGGGGCGGGCCGAGGTTCTGAGGGCGTTTGGGCTGTGGGAGGGGGAGTTCGAACTGGTCCGCGACCTCGGCCGCTCGGCCCTGCAGCGGAGGGCGGACAGCCCTGAGGAGGGCGACTCCGACGCCGAGCCATTCTGAATTGGGGCTTGACCCCGCGTTTAGCGCAAACCCATACCATACCATACCTCTCCCTTCCAGGAAGGGCCCTCCTCCTCCTCCTCCTCCTCCTCCTCCTCCTCCTCCTACTTATCCTGCTAAGTTTCCTCCTGCTACTCTTGCTTCTCCTCCTCCGCTTCCTCCTCGTCCTCGTCCTCCTCCTCCTCCTCCTCCTCCTCCTCCTCCGCTTCCTCCTCCGCCTCCGCCTCCGCCTCCGCCTCCCTCCTCCTCCTCCTCCTCCTCCTCCTCCTCCTCCTCCTCCTCCTCCTCCTCCTCCCTCCTCCCCATCCCCCCCCCCTCCTTCTCCCCCTCTTCCTTCTCCTCCTCCCCTTCCTCCCCCCTCCTCCTCCTCCTCCTCCTCCTCCTCCTCCTCTCATCTTCCCTCCTCCTCCTCCTCCTCCTCCTCCTCATCATCCTCATCCCTCTCCTCCTCCTCCTCCTCCTCCTCCCCTCCTCCTCCTCCTCCTCCTCCCTCCTCCTCCTCATTCTTCTTTTTCCTCCTCCCGTTTCTCCCCTCCTCCTCCTCCTCCTCCTCCTTCTTTTCTCCTCCTCCTCCTCCTCCTCCTTCCTTTTCCTCCTCCTCCCTCCCCCTCCTCCTCTTCCTCCTCCTCCTCCTCCTCCTTTCCTCCTCCTCCTCCTCCTCCTCCTCCTCCTCCTCCTCCTCTCCTCGTCCTCCTCCTCGTCCTCGTCCTCGTCCTCCTCCTCCTTCCTCCTCCTCCTCCTCCTCCTCCTCCTCCTCCTCCTCCTCCTCCTCCTCCTCCTCCGCCTCCTCCTCCTCCTCCTCCTCCTCCTCCTCCTCCTCCTCCTCTCCTCTCCTCCTCCTCCTCCTCCTCCTCCTCCTCCTGCTGCTCCTCCTTCCCTCCTCCTCCTGCTCCTCCTCCTCCTCCTCTTCCTCCTTTTGATCGCTCTGTGGCCGCCCGCCTGTTGCGAGCTCGTGTTTGCTTCGCTGCCCTCGGGGTGTGCTCGGTCGGCTGCAGGCTTTGCCCGGAGGCGTCGGCGGGCAGGCCGTGGATGTCGCCGTTGAGTTGGGCGCCCTTCCTGCTTTCCGACTCCGCCGCCGCGTGGGTGGATTGACGTTTTCCAAGATTGACCCCATGGCTATGATGTTCTAACCTACTTTAGCCTTTACCACCAGAAACAATTTCAAGCACCAAGGAAGTACCGACATTGGAGGGTTTTCACGTGTCGGGCCCTAGGAGGCTTGATGATCCTCAGGACGTGTGTTAACCTAATGTGTGTTAGCCCTTCAGCCCAACCAGTCGATCATCACGTCGCCTGCGTCGTATCGAAGGGCCTCGATGGTCATTACATGAGTTGGGGCCAACACGTTCTGAGGATCATCGAGAGGTGGTGCTCCTTCGACACCGTTTCGCTACTTGCCTGGGTGCTCGACATTATGTTTGGGACGCGGCAGGGCTGGCCCTGAACGCTTCTTTGCTGGACTTCGGCCGTGTCTTGCTCTCCGTCCTGGCAGGGAGGTGATCCAGGAAAGCAGGTCGAGCGAAGCGAAGCACAAACCGTCCACTAGGGGAACAACAAGTGGCATAAACATAAGAACTCGGAGGTCCGCGCGGATTTCTCGGATCGGCGCTGGGGCCCCCCCGGCGGCCCCTCTGGCGCCGCCCCTGGCGCGCTCCGCGCGCCAGGGAGGGGGGTCCAGCGCCGATCCGAGAAATCCGCGCGGACCTCCGAGTTTTTATGTTTATGTCACTTCTTGTTCCCCTAACCACGAAGCGAACAAACAGCGTTCGGGTCCAGCCCTGGGATGTGGCCCTGAAGTGCGATTAGGGGGCAGCGCAGCCCCAGGGGCGCCGAGGTCCTCGCGCCCTCCGCGCGTCGCGGCGGGGGGGCCCACGCGGCGGCCCTCCTCCGAGGGGGCGCCGCTGCGAGGGCGGGTATAGGGTCGCGGAGAGGCTCGCGCCCGAGCAGAGGCCCCTCGGGAGGGCCTTGGCATCCACGGGGCGCGGAAACGGCCACACCCACTGCTTTTCCTTTGATGCCGCCTTCCAGCCCGCGGCAACAACGCAGTGGTTGTGGTCATTTTCGTTGAGCTTGGCACCAGGGAAATGACCACAACCACTGCTTCTCTTTCGGCCGGCTGGAAGGCGGCGCAAACAAGAAGCAGCGGCTGCGGTCATTTTCCCGTCCCGCAGCATCGCCCGGGCATGTGCATGTTTTCCCCTCGCGGGGACCATCGAGGAGCGCATGGGGGCAGTTTGCGAAGATTCTTCGCAGGATGTTCCAGGGCTGGACCTAGACGATGTTTTTGGTGATCTCGTGGGCCGTGTTCGTTTCGACTTCGTTTTGCGGTAACGGCGGATTCGAGACAAAAGCGAGGGAAAACGAAACAAAAACAAAACGAAAACGAAAAACACCGTTTAGGTTCAGCCCTGGGATGTTCCAGTACGCTATTCGGTTCAGTTCGGCTTGGGCGCCGAAGACGGTTCTGTTCGGTCCGGTGCGAGTCGACATTCTTGCTGGTTCACGCCGACTCGGTTCGTCCCGGCTCGGTTCGGGCGGCTCGGTTCAGTTCCGGAACCATGCTGGAAGAACTAAACGCGCGACGCCGAGAAGTGCACGGGGAGTGGACGTCCGAGCGACGGCGGGGGGCGGAGCGGAGCAGAGCGCAGAGAGAGGGCGGAGGCGCCGCGCAGAGAGGGAGCGCCCGAGGCCGTCTCCGAGCTGCTGGTGGCGCCGCCGCCGGGGCCGGCGGAGGCGCATCCCCCCTCCCGTATGCCATATGGGCCACGGTGTCGGGAGGCTGCGGGGCGGTCTCGTTGGGCAAGGCTGGTTTCCAAGGGCCGGCCAACACGTAGTTTAGCGTGCTGCCGGCCCTTGTTTTGTTTGTCGTGTGTTTTTTGTCCGTTGCTGCTTCGTTTCGTTTCTCGTCGTTGATTCGTTGATTAATGCGCCCCGCTCCGTCGCTTGCTCTCTGCTGGCGCCAGCTTCGCTGTAAACGTTCGCTTTGAGCATTGGGCCTCGTGTTTCGGTTTCGTGGCAAGCGCCGTTTCGTTGTACAGATCGTTGTGGTCGCTCCTTGTTGGCTTCGCTGCTGGACCTCGGCCTCCCCACAGCCCGACCGGAGGCCCCCCTTGCTCGACCTGGGGCGCCCCGGCGGCCGTCGAAGGCGCCCCCTCGTGCACCAGACGTGCTGGCCGTCCCCGAGGTGTGGAGGTGCAGACCTCCAGCGATCCCGCGACCAAACGAGGACGACGTGCCCAGGTCGGGCGTTGCTGGAAGTACCCCTGGCCCAAGGTGCCCCCAGGATTTGGAGGAGGCCCCCACGGCCTCCAGAGCACCCCTCACGAGGCCAGGGGGGGCCCCGGGGGCTCCAAAATGAAGCGAAAAAAGCTGGGGGCACCTTGGGCCAGGGGCACCTTTAGCACCCGCCGGTCAGGAGGTGGCAGCGCCCGGCTGGGAAAGGGACGATTCACAGACTTTCATTCCCGGTGCGTCGTCGCAGTCCCCGTCGAGGCCGCTGGCCCGCAGCCGGCGACCCAGACGAGAAAGAGCCTCGGGGCTCAAGGGACGTGGGTCAATGCAATAACGGGGGTCAGCCAGAGCGCTGGATCTTGCAGGATCCTGCAGGGCCAGGGTCGCGTTGACCCCGGTTTGGGCGCAGGATTTTGCAGAATCCTGCAAGGCTTGACTGGCCCGGGCCTGGATTGACCCGGGTCAGAAGATTCCCGCGAACCATGTTTTGAATTACCTTTGCACAGTTTTTGTGTCACATCGTTTGGTCTCGCTGCGGTGGAGCCGAGGTATGAGATGGAGGTCGGCTCGGGGAGGGCATCTTGATGCTCTCCGTGCTTGTCGGATGCTCTTGTCCATCCTGGGCAGGGCCACCCTGGGGTGCTTTGTGAATGCTTTGGCTGGCGGAGGGCTCTCCTGCTCTGGAAGTGTGCTCTCCTGCCCTAGGTTGAAGTCGGGCCTTTCCCCCTACAGGGGGATTTTCGACGAAAAATTAAGAATACTTGAAAAATATTCAAAAATAATTCAAAACGAGTCAGGGGAATTTGTTTTTGCATTTTTTATCTTGTTGGTGTATTTTTGGGGTATTTTTATTTTTCGTCGAGAAAATCCCCCTGCAGGGGGACACGCCCGACATAATCCCTGGTCCGACCGCATCATGGCGGGCGCCTCTTCTATGGGGCCGTCGGGCGCCCCCGCCGGGACCCGCAGGTGAGGGGCCGCGGCGCGAGACCCGCACGCACGGCAGATGGGGCCGAGTGGTTTGGGGGGGGGGCTCTCTGTTTAATTCAAGCCTCGTGCGGCCCGCTTAGCTTCGACCGGAAGAGGTGCGCTCTCGACCCGCGAATCAAAAAAGTGTTTGGGGGGGGCCTGCGCACCGAGAGAAGCGAGATGCCAGAGGAGTCCAGGTATTCTAGTGGGCTCCGGCCAGCAGGCCAGCCACAGTTGGGGGAGCTGTGGTCCTTACCCCCCTGGGGGACCCATCGACTTCGACACCCCTCTCAAGAGATCGTCGATGCGATGGGTTCCCCCAGGGGGGTAAGGACCACAGTTCCCCCAGTTGTGGCTGGTCGGGCCAGAGCCGCCGATCCAGGGGGCTCCGGAGTCGGTGCTCTGGCCTGCTCCCTCCTCGAGTCTTCCGGTCTTCTTTCTTCTCCTCCAGGGGGGTGCCTGGAGCGGTCCCGGGGGAGGGGGCCGAGTGTTTTTGGGGGGGCCTGCGCACTGGGAGAAGCGAGGTGCCAGAGGTGCTGGTGCATGTATCCAGGCACTGGTTGGGTGGGGCAGGTCTTTGCGGTCCCCTCTGCGTTCTGCTCATGCTTTTGAGGTTTCCACCCCCGTTTTCTTGGCATGCAGATATTATCACACTGGGCATCGTACGTCCGTCGCCGCTATTCCGCAACACCTGGCATTAATCGTCGTCAAGTGCGTGATAATCAGATTTACGACTTCCGCTAGATAAGGTCACCATGTGCTCTCTCCGTCACAATTCATCATATGGCTGGCAGTGTTGCTAGGTCGATACTTCGATTACAATTAGTGTTGTTGCGACGCACGGCAGGTTTATCGAGACTGCGGCCATTAGAAATGCTACAACAACTAGATCAGAGTGAGGGGCCGAACGGTCTTACACCATCCTTGGGTACGTGTCTGAAGTGGGATTTCCGCGGTGCGGATTCTGATTGTAGTTGTTGCTGCTGTTGTTGTTGTCGTCGTCGTCGTCATCGCCCGCGATCCCCCCGCAACCCCCGCACGACCTTCCCGGCGACCCACCCCGCGACCCACCCCATGACCCACAAGCGACCCACCTGAGACCCACCCCTCGCCCGCCCCCTCTTTTATCCGCATTTGCGGGGTGCTACGGTATTATTGATTATTACCCTTACTTTTAATGTTGACCTGCGACTGGTTAGTTCACGCACGGCGCTTTCGGGTACAGCTGTGGAGTATACACTTTAGCGTCACCGCTTGGCACGCCGTTCGCCGCACGGCGTCACCACCTCCACCACCATAAGTTTGGGGGTGGAAGGAGGTGGAGGATGAGGAGGAGGACGAAGAGGAGGAGGAGGAAGAGGGCTTCTTTCCCCTCCTACACATGGCGATGGTGGTGGAGAACAAGCCCACCAACATGGCCTGCGCCACATAGCTCGTACCACATAGCTTCCATCATGTAGTTTGCGCCACATCCATAGTTTTCACTGCGTAGCGTCCAACACATGGCTTTCACCACCGTGCTCCCTCCGCGCAGCTTGCACTGCAGAGCTTGCACACACAGCTTCCACCGCGCAGCCTGCACCACTATCGATTCCACCACAGTACTGCCTTTACATGGTGTTCATCATACAGCTTGCCCCACATCGCCTGCACCACACAGCTTCCACCGCATAGGTTGCACCAAGTTCGTGCAACCACACAGCTTCCAACACATTGCTCCTTCCTCAGACCATGCACTTCAGCGTTCACACACTCAGCGTGTGGGGTCCTTCTGGCGAAAATGCTGATTCGTAATAGATTATCGCAGCGGATGTGTCGTTATTATTATTTTTACTATTTTTGTCGCGGATGCGTTTTGTTGATCTCTTCATATCCATATGTGTGTGGCAAACCCCACCACCGTGCCAGTGCAGCAGCTCTGCGTGAAGGAGGTTGAGTTGAAGAGCGCTCGACCTCTCTCCGCCGCCCTCTCGAGCCAGCTGGGCTGCATTTGGGTGGGTTACCTGGAGGCTCGCTTCGGGGCATGTTTGGACTGTCCTGGCGACTCTGTGGGTCTCTCTGAGGCTTTCCCGGGTCGATCTGACGCCGAAAGGCCCAGGGAGCAACAACAATCACAACAACATCGGCAACAGCAACAACAACAACAACAACAACAACAACAGCAGCAGCAGCAACAACAACAACAACAAGAGCAACGCCATGCTCAAGGAGGTTCGCCCCCCCCTGGGCCTCGCGGGAGGCCGTCTCTATGGCAGTCGTGGAGGGCCTTGGGCCGTCTTTGGATGGCCTCCGAGCTTGTCGCAGTTGTTGCCTGGCTCCTCCCCGTTGCTCCTCCTTTCTCGCCCCGTATGCCGTCCCGCCTTTCTCGCTCCTCCTCCCTCCCCTCCTGCTGCTGCTGCTGCTCCTCCTCCTCCAATCGCGCACGCTGTGCATTATGAGACAGCCGACGTGCAGTCGCTCCCGCGAAGCGGCGAGATCAGGCTGGCATTGTCTTTTGCCCACGCGCTCCGGCGTATGGCAGTTCGTTCGTTCGTTCCCCGTTGCCGGGGGTGGGGGGGGGGGGGCGGTTGTGTGACCATGCTTGCGGGAAGAGCCGGGGGTCGGCCCCCGAAGCGCAAGAGAGAGGAGGCCAGGCATTCGCACTCGTTATCTTGGCATCGCCCGGACGTGTGCATTTTTCCTGCGGCGAGGGCCCTCGAGGAGCATCCCTGATCATTCGGCGAAAAAGCCACGCACGAAGTCGAAACCAGCACAGGGAGTGGACGTCCGAGCGATGGCGAGTCATGCCCCAGCGTGCCCTCGGCACGGTCATTTTTTGGTCACCCCTGAGCCGCCCCGAAGGCACTTCCAGGCGCGCGACCGTGCGCGGCGCCGTTCGGCGCCTCCTTTGCGCGGCGCCAGCGTTGAACGCGCAGTTTTTGCGGCGCCGACCGCGTGTGCAGGGTGTCCCGGTTCTCGCGGTCTGCTCCGCCAGGTCGGCTCGCAGCACCGTGTGGTCACCCGCGGAGGGCCGCGCGCGGGAGGCGGTGGCGGTGCGGCAGGTCTCGTTGTGCCTCGGCTCCCCGGCGCCATAACGGTGGAAGCCCATGCCAAGAAACACCCTGCTTTCGCAGGCCTGGAGGTTGACACCAACACCAATATCGGCGGTGTGCCTCCAACGAGGGAAGATGATCCCGATCTCGGTGATGGTGGTAAGATTCTGGCTTCCGAGGTGGCCGAACTATTACCACCAACACCGAAATCTAGGATCATCTTCCCCTGTGGAGGCACCCCCCTGTGTTGGTGTTGGTGCCCATTTCGAGGCATCCAATGCTTGCCTCCAGGGTGCCCTGGGTTTCGCGGGTTTCGACGGGCTTCCCGGGTTTCGACGGTCCCTCGCCGACAATCAGTGTCGGAAACCAGAGCATGTATATTACCAGTGGCGCCCTAGCAGTGGAAACCCATGCCACGAAACACCCTGCTTGCCTCCAGGGTGCCCTGGGTTTCGACGGTTTTCTCGGGTTTCCGACGGTCCCACGCCGAAAATCAGTGTCGGAAACCAGAGCATGTGCATTGCCAGTGGCGGGCTGTTTCTCAATCCCAGGACTTTTTGAGGGTCGGGGATGACGTCGTGGTGGTGTGGTGTATGCTTGTGTCCCCGTTGTCCTGAGGAAACAACGAAGAATGTATACACCAGGATCCCGTATACACCAGGATCCGCTTTCCTGTGCGAGCTTCAGTGCGGGGCCAGAAAAGGTGTTGGTGCATAGAGTTCGGCTTCTTATCATGGACGTCCTGGGGTCTCAGGGTTGGGTTTTTTGTGGAAGGTTTCTTGTGGTCGAGCCTTTTACTGTAACATTGGAAAGTTCCCCGACACAGATCCGAGCAGAGTGCAAGCTGTGATGTCGAGGGCGGACGGCAGCGGGTGCGGCCCGTAATCAACGGCGTGGGGCGACGCGACCGTGTACGCATGGTTGGTCTTTGAATCTGGGCCGGCTTTCTCAGTCGGGATCCCTTTGTGCGGCCAGCGCCCGCCACGGGGGATGCACTGCCGCGGAGTCCTGAGGATCCCCTCGGATTCCCGAGGAGTCCTGAGGGGTCCTGAGGACATCTCACGGACTCCTCAAGAGTCCTCGGGGAGTCCTCGGGACGTTTCAGGGACTCCACAGAATTTGTGAGGCCTCCTCAGGATCCCATAGGGTGCCTAACGAGACTTAGGGGTCCAGGAGGTTCTCCTGAGGAGCCTTAAAGATTCCGGATGTTTCCCAGGGATCCGATCGCGGAAACCTGAGTTCAGACTAGTCTCACCGTCTGCATGGCTTTCGTCGGCTCCTGCACCTACCTCCGTTGTAGGATCTGTATCCCAGGGTTCCTGGGCTCTGGAGGCTTTGGCGTGGATGTCAGAAGAGTGCCTGGCCTGGGCCAACGACATGTGAGAGCTTCTTCTCCGTTTTCGAGGAGGCAGTCGCACGCAACAATTGCGTTCTCCCAGAGCCCAGAGGATCGTGACAGTTGCCTTTCCTCAGATTCTTTTGTGTGTTCGTCGTGCAAGTTGTTTGGTCGTCGTGGGGCCGCTTTGGGTAAGGCTTGAGCCTTCTGGGGCACGACCTGCGGGGGTCCGTGGCCGCCTCTCTTGGACTGTCTGGCCGTCCTGGGGTTCCTTGCTCGCCTCTTCAGGCACGAACGGCGCCATCGCAGAACGAAATGGAGCACATCAGGTGTTTTGGTGTCTTTTGCCTCTCGGCGTGACCCCTAGGTCCTTGGGGTGCCGTGTTGCTCAGGGAGGTCCAGAGTCGGGATGAACCGCTCCAGAGCGTTCCCGAACGTTCTCAGAGCTTTCTGGACCGCTCTGAAACGACCGCGGCGCCCGATACATCATCAAGAACCGCGTGATCTCCGAGATCACCGACTTGTCCCCGTCTGAGTTGGGCCCCGTGTTGGCTGCGTCTTACCTGCATCCGGGTCGGCCAAGAGGGGGATGATGACGAGGGGGGTGGATATCATGGTCGAGGCCATGATATCTCCCCTGATGTTTTGGCCCCCTCTTTTTCTTCTTCTTCTTCTTCTTCTGCTTCTTCTTTCAACACGTCCCCCGACCCCCCCCCCCCCTCGTCCGCGCTCATGCCTCGTGTCATGATTTGCGAACCCCCTTCTTGGACGCCCCTGTCTTGGACGCCCCCCGCTGTGGTAGGTCCCCCGAAGTCTGTTCTGCGACCCCGCCGCAGGGCCTCCTGGACGTAGACGCCAACCTGCCCCCCAGCGGGCAGTTTCCGAACGTCACCGCCGCCTATGCCGCCGCGCTGCACGGCCACGCGGAAAGGGGGGGGGGCTCGGCGGGTGCGAGGTCGACGTGAGCGGATAATGTCGGCATCGAGATCCAAACCTTATTTTCGCCGATCAACGATTCAGGCAACTCGATGGGCAGCAGGCTTAGGAAATGGAATTCGTCGAACGCGTGGCGAAATCCGAACCCCTACACCCGCCTCCCATCGATTCAGGAGAAGCGATGGTTGGTTGGTGTAGTTGTTGGATGTCGCCACCTGAGAGCGGAGTGAGCGGATCATGGATCCGCCACGTTCGGGTGTTGTGAGACGTCGAAGAGTTTTTTGTATGTTGCGAGAGCGTTCGTTAACGTTGTTCTAATCGTTGATTGGACTCGCTATGCTGTAGACACATTACGGCAGTTGGAAAGGAAGAGGGCGGCCGCCCAGGAGGATCAGTAGAAGTCGAATCCAGTCGGACCGAGATACAAGATCGAGGTCGGTGCGGGGAGAGTGCCCCACTGTTCTCAGTGTTTGTGGTCTGCTCTGGTGCATCCTGGGGGAGGGCACCCTCGAGTGTACGCCAGTTTGGCCGGCGGAGGATCTCACGTTCTTGAATGATGTTATTCTGTCCGAGGTCTCGACTAGGCGTCAGAGTGACCTTTCGCTGGAGTTACCTTCGGTGCATGCACAGATGGACCCCCAGATGGCCGAAAGAGAAGCGATAGCAGCGGCTTGCGCGCTTGTTTTTGGCCCCCCCGCGGCCCCAACACGCCGCGCACCAAAGGCCACTCTCACCTATAGGGCCACTCTTGCGTGCAGCCGATGGGTCCGGCTGCACCCGAGAGTGCATGAGCATCATGCCTCGGAGGCCCGCGCCGACGTCTCGGATCGGCGCCGTGCCCCCCAGCCAAGCGCGTGCTGCGCCGCCCCCTGGGCGCGCCCCGCGCGCCGGAGAGGGGGGTCCAGCGCCGCTCCCAGAAGCCCGCGCGGACCTCGGAGGAAGCGCGTGGCCTGGTCCTGCAGGACGCGCGCCGGGCACAGGGCGTGTCCCCAGGATGGTCACAGGAGGCTCCCACGGCCTCGAGAGCGCCCCTCGCGAGGCCGGGAGGGCCCCTGGGGCTCCGACGCGGAGCGGAACGTGGGGGGCGCAAGGGGCACGTTGGCACCTCCCTCGACACGTCCCGCTGCACCGCCGGAGGATGCCATCTCCAAATGCCCGGAGCAAGTGGTGGGGGGCATTTGCTGGGCCATCTTCTGGTGTTTCACCCCTCCTCCTCCTCCTCCTCCTCCTTCTCCTCCTCCTCCTCCCCCTCCTCGTCCTCCTCCCCCTCCCCGCCCCCCTCCCCTGCCTCTCTCCATGCCTCCTGCGCGCCCCCTCCTGCGCGCGAGTGCCGCTGTTCACCCCGGGTGCGCCATTTGCTAAAAAGTTGGCGGTGGTCGAGCTCCGAGGCACAGTAGCAATTTTTTCTCCATCTTTTTTTTTTGTTGTTCTCTCTCTCTCTCTCTCTCTTTCTCTTTTTTTCCCAACCCTCCTTGGTTGGGTATTCGTTTTGAATAGAGCAGTGTGGTCGCGTCCCTTCTCCCGCCTCCCGCCTCCCGCCTCCCGCCTCTTCTTGTCTTGCCTGCGGGGGGCTGCGATCTGTGAAACTGTCGCCACTTTCGAGGCCTGCTGGGGGGTCCGGCATAGAGGGTAACCGCGGCAGATTCAAATTAGACCTCGCCATCCCTGGGGGGCTGCGATCTGTGAAACTGTCGCCACTTTCGAGGCCTGCTGGGGGGTCCTGCATAGAGGGTAACCGCGGCAGATTCAAATTAGACCTCGCCATCCCTGGGGGGCTGCGATCTGCGAAACTGTCGCCATTTTCGAGGCCTGCTGGGGGGTCCAGCATAGAGGGTAACCGCGGCAGATTCAAATTAGACCTCGCCATCCCTGGGGGGCTGCGATCTGCGAAACTGTCGCCATTTCGAGGCCTGCTGGGGGGTCCTGCATAGAGGGTAACCGCGGCAGATTCAAATTAGACCTCGCCATCCCTGGGGGGCTGCGATCTGTGAAACTGTCGCCACTTTCGAGGCCTGCTGGGGGGTCCTGCATAGAGGGTAACCGCGGCAGATTCAAATTAGACCTCGCCATCCCTGGGGGGCTGCGATCTGCGAAACTGTCGCCATTTTCGAGGCCTGCTGGGGGGCCCAGCACAGTGAGGGCCACGGGCAGATTCAAATTAGACCTCGCCATCCCTGGGGGGCTGCGATCTGCGAAACTGTCGCCATTTTCGAGGCCTGCTGGGGGGCCCAGCACAGTGAGGGCCACGGCAGATTCAAATTAGACCTCGCCATCCCTGGGGGGCTGCGATCTGCGAAACTGTCGCCATTTTCGAGGCCTGCTGGGGGGCCCAGCACAGTGAGGGCCACGGGCAGATTCAAATTAGACCTCGCCATCCCTGGGGGGCTGCGATCTGCGAAACTGTCGCCATTTTCGAGGCCTGCTGGGGGGCCCAGCACAGTGAGGGCCACGGGCAGATTCAAATTAGACCTCGCCATCCCTGGGGGGCTGCGATCTGCGAAACTGTCGCCATTTTCGAGGCCTGCTGGGGGGCCCAGCACAGTGAGGGTAATCGCGCGGATTCAAATTAGACCTCGCCATCCCTGGGGGGCTGCGATCTGCGAAACTGTCGCCATTTTCGAGGCCTGCTGGGGGGCCCAGCACAGTGAGGGCCACGCGCGGATTCAAATTAGACCTCGCCATCCCTGGGGGGCTGCGATCTGCGAAACTGTCGCCATTTTCGAGGCCTGCTGGGGGGCCCAGCACAGTGAGGGCCACGGGCAGATTCAAATGAGACCTCGCCATCCCTGCGGGGCTGCGATCTGCGAACCTGTCGCCACTTTCGAGGCCTGCTGTGATCCCCGTTTTCGAAGTGGCTAGGAGTGCTCAGGAATTGTAAATCATCAGCTTTATCAAGCCCTTTTCCTGTAGCCAGTGTCCTGCGAGTCTCCCGAATTCCGTCTGCAGACATATGTAACCCTCGCTCCGTCATCGCCCCCTTTATAAAGTATCCTAAACTATTTGCGCCCCGCTTTTGCGCAGGGGTTGGGTACGTCGCCAGGGTAATTGTTCTCTCTCTCACGCACAAACACACACACACACACACGTACATGTCGTTTCTTTCGCCGATGCGCCGTTCATGCGCGGCTCTTGAGTGAGTGAGTGCTGGGCCATCTTGCCCTCCTTTTTGGTTCACAGTTCGCGCCCTCGGAGGTGTCTTATAGCGCTCGGCGCGCACAAGCGAGCCCCAGTCGTGCGATAAGAGCCACGGGCAGGCAGACTGCACCAAGTGCCACAAAGTCTGCCCACAGACCCGGACATGTGCCAAGCCAGAGTGCTGCTCGAGAACACCAAGCTCGGGGCGGGGGTGAGGAGAGTACAGGGAGGAGGAGGAGGAGGAGGAGGAGGAGGAGGAAGAGGAGGAGGAGGAAGAGGAGGAGGAGGAGGAGGAGGAGGAGAGGAGAAGAGGAGGAGGAGGAGGAGGAGGAGGACGACGACGACAGGGGCGGAGTCGGAGGAGACACTGGCTGAAAGAGCGGATGGGGCGGGAGAGAGGAGGAGGAGGAGGAGAAGGAGGAGGAGCAGGTGAGGGAGGGTGGGAGGGGGGAGAGGAGGAGGAGGGAGGAGGAGAGGAGGAGGAGGAGATCAGGAGGAGGAGGAGGAGGAGGAGGAGGAGGAGGGAAAGAGAAGGAAGAGGAGCAGGAGGAGGAAGAGGAGGAAGAGGAGGAGGAGTAGGAGGAGGGAGGAGGTTGAGCAGCGGCACCGGGAGGAGCAGCAACGGCAGCAGGGCGGTGCCGCAGCCGCGGTGGGCCAGGCGCCACAGGGGGCTCTGCGCGTCGGCGGGCCCCCCCCCCCCCGCGCGCTTGATGGGCCGATTTTCCACCGCCACTACCATAGGTAGGATTTGCGGGGAGGAGGAGGAGGAGGAGGAGGAGGAGGAGGAGGAGGAGGAGGAGGAGGAGGAGGAGGAGGAGGAGGAGGGGGAGAAGGAGGAGGAGAGGGAGGACCTCCCTATCCTCCCCTCTCCCCCGTGATACCTATGGTAGTGGTGGTGGAAAATAGGCCCATCAGCGCTGGCCCCGATGGAGTCGGCCCCGCTGGTCGAGCGGCTGCTGGACGCGGGCGTGGCGCTGCTGTCGTCGGGGCTGTGGTGCGCGGTGGATCTCAAAGGAGGAGAAAAAGGTCATATACCGCTACCCTTCCCTCGTTCTCGTCTTGTTCAGCTTCCCGGGGGTCACTCGTCGCCACGGTTGGATTCGCCTCGACATTCTATCCAGAATGCGCCCCGGGCCCAGGGAGTAGCGGTATCGGTGTTTGTTCGTTTCCCCGGGATTGTTCTCTAGGCCTGCCAAGCGGGGTCCGAGCAAGTGGGATCGGTTGATTGCACCGCCGATGCATCGGCGATGCGGCTCGATGTGGAGCACGATTTTCTCCGCGCCGACGTCGCCGATGCATCGCCGACGTATCGCCGATGCATCGGCGAGGGATGCGGCGGGACCCTCCGACCCCATCTATTTCGAAGAAGAAAAACGCCATAACCATAACCGTCTTGCACTCCGAGCGGATTGCTTGGATCCGCGCTGGGCCACCCCTGGCGGTGCCTCCGGCGCCGCCCCAAACGTTTATGTTGTTGGCGTTTTTGTTATTTCTTCTACTTTTCGGACCCCGTAGAGCGACGCAAAAGAACAGGGTCGTCGGCGCCGACATTGGCGCGTAAAAACTGCTCGCGCAAGTTCGCGCCCTTGCTCCCAGCCCAGCGCAACGCGCTGGCGGCCCGCGTAAGCCACCGCGCATGGTCGGTATGGCATCTCGCGTGAGACCCGTTTTTGATGGGCCAATTTTCCACAACCGCTATCATAAGTATCGGGGGTGGACAGAACCCCCAACAGTGACACGTCGACTAGTGAATTGTCCGTTTTCGGTTCTCGAGAGGGCGCCCTTGCCGTTTTTTCCAGGCTTGCGCCCGCCAGGTTTGAGCCTCAGGTCGTTTTCCCTAAACCACGTTTTACTA